GGTGTGTGTGTGTGTGTGTGTGTGTGTGTCGGGGGGGTGGAAGGGGGGCAGGGGGGTCAAGGGAAACTAAACAGGATATGCCCTAATACCAAGTGAGCGCTCATGGGTTTAAATCCCGTCCTGCAGCCCATTTACGTGCGACCGTTCTCCGCGGACGTCTCAAACCCACACGACGTGTCGTCCAGATTCTTCACTTTGATTATTTTCACTCTTCACTGAACAAAATTGTTCCTGAATTAGAGGCAATTATTCAGAGTTATTTGATTAATGACTGGGACGACTGAACGGTCTGAACCCTGATTGGCTGGAACCAACACTGCAGTACTTTTGTGGACTATTGTACCAGCAGAGATAAAAAAAAAAAAAAGAAAAGTTGCCCTTCATACCACCAGAGGGAGCAGATGTACCACTAGTGGAATGCATCCCACAGTTTGAGAACCACTGCTTAAAGTTTGGCAACACCAGCAGTGGTCCATATATTTCCACCTCTAGAAATACTTCAAGTATTCAACTTCAAGTACTACGAGTACTACAGTTTTCTCCCGTTCTAACACAGTTCTGGTTCTTGTTCTTTTTCTTCGTTGTTTGTTTTTTTTCTTTTCTGTTCTTTTATCTTCTCTTCCCTCAGCCTGTTGCCCCCCCACCTCCCCACCCCCGCCCTCTTTACTGCCCCACTGGGACAAATAAAGTTTTCAGAGTCAGATTTTCGTTTTGTCTCTGAGAGAAATAAAAGTTTAAAAAATATTTTAACTATTTTATGGAGATCGACAACAAAAACCTCGAGCCTCAGGCACAAAAACCCTCAACATCATAAAACCAAATACGACCCCAGGGTCCGGGGGGGTCCAGGGGTCCGGGGTCCGGTCAGCTGGTCTGACCAGAATAATCTGAGCCACCTGTGGGCCCAGAGAAACACGACCTGACAGATGGGGGGGGGGGTCCCGGGGCAGTGTCAGTGTCAGTCTCCTCCTCCTGTGCAGCCGCGTTTGCCTTACAAATGACGAGGACAGATTTGGACCCGCGGCGTAACAGGCTGATGAACTGTGGGCGAGAGAGAGAGAGAGGGAGAGAGGGGGTGAGAGAGAGAGAGGCCTCAACAGTCAAATGTGAAGAGCAGATGGGTTTAACACAGCAGCAGTCCACTCATCACCCACGCTGTGAGAGGCTCCGTGTGACGTCACAAATATTTACAGGGGGTGACGTCAACAACAGAGAGACTGAAATAATAACCTTAAGAAATAATCTAATAAATATATAAAAATAATTAATATTTAGTCCGATGAATATATAATACTAATTGTCAATATATATACTGTATATATGACTATAAATATATGTGTAGAATATATATTTTCCTACATTTAAATTCCAGAAATGTTGTTTGTTAGAAATTATTTTGTTAAAATGCAAACGTTAAATTCAGTTTCATATAAAGGTAGCATGAACATATATGTAGATATATGTTTATATATTGAAATTATTTTGTTAAAATACAAACGTTAAATTCAGTTTCATTTATAGGTGACATAAACATTGGTCGTTGCGTAGATTCCGCATCTGTTGCTTAATTAAAGGAACTCGTTTTCCTAAAGTCACAGTGACATAAATAAAACGCCTCTGACTGTAAATAACCTCCTCACCTCCGTCACATCCCAGACACATGAAACCGTGGCTGCTGCGCCTGTGAGCGGAGCGGGACGCACTCTGGCTCCCACCCTCCGCCCTCCAGATCCCACCCCTTCCACCCTAAAAACTATTTAGCTCCAGAAACGAGGATAAAGTTTCCAAAAAAAAAAAAAAAAGGAAAAAAGAAAAGAAAAGAAAAGAAAAAAGTTTAAGCAAAAACCTTCCTGCGAGACCAGAGAGTGGGAGATCGTGCCAGGCTGTTCTCTGAAGAACCAGAGGGCGCACGGAGAGAGCGCGGCTCAGCCCCCCGGTCATCCCCCCTCATCTGGAAGGATTTGTTTTTCACCCCCGCTCGTAACCACGGCTTCGAAGGTGGACAACGTTTT